ACCACACACACACATACACACCACACCACACACACATATACACCACACACACACACACACACACACACACACACACCGCACGGCCTGGTAGAGCAGGTGCTTCTCACGCATGGCGTCCTGTCCTGGCCCCGTGGGGGCATCTGCTCTTACCGCGAACATTTTGCAGATAGGCAAGAAGGGGCGGCGGAAAGAGGTCCGCTCACTCACCCGAGGCTCCACCGTAAGGAAATGGGAACATGACTGAACTGTAGCCCGCGGCGACCTGCTGAGATCTACCACCCCAGCGAGAGGGGGATGGGCTCCTCCCTCCCGTATCTAGACCTCGGCCTCCTCAGCTGCCCCAGGGGCTCTTCCCCCACGTTCAGAGTCTTCCTGCCTTGGAGGTCCCCGTGGGGTCTGGGGAAGAGGGAGAAGGGACCTGAGTTCTGGGTTTGCCGAGCTGCCACCCGGGTCAGCTTCAGCGGCAGCCTGGTTGTCTGTCTGCCCTGATCTCCAGGGTCCGCTCAGTCACCTAGCACGGCTGTGTGTCTGGCTTTGTGAAACCTTCTCCGCCTTGTCTCACTTTGGACCGGTCTTCAGCCACCTTTGGCAGAGACACCGAGGAGACATGCATGCTCACCTCAACTATCCTCTCACCCAGTGGACATCTGTGGCTGGAAGGCCGGAGGCTGGGGACCAGGGAAGGGTCAGTGAGAACACACAAATGACTCTCGGGGAATTCATCTTTTCTTTTTTTTCCCCCAAAGCCAGCGCAAGTCAAGGAATTGAATGGTGGCAACTCGTTCTTTTCAGCCTGGGACCCAGGAGGCGAGGAAATACCATGCTCTGAAGAGAGCTGGCTTTGCACCTAAATTGAAGAGTGGGCTCCCTGTCGCTGGAAGCGTGTAAACAGATTCTAGATCTCTCCTTACAGGCTGTTCGGGCTCCTCCCAGAGCTGGGTGTTTGTGACTGGGCTGGGAGCTGGCCAGGGTCCCCTCCCTCAGCCTGCCCTGAGATCAATGGCTCAGAGCCCATTTGTCTCAGGTGTCCTCACTCCCGGCCTACGTCACTCTGGTTTCTGGCTTCTCAAACCTGTTGGGTTTGGCCAGGTACCCCAATCCCAGGGGCAAGAGAGGACTCCTCCCGCCTGCCTCACCTCCCTGAGGGGCCAACTGCTGTTTAGAAGGTTGTTGTCCAGGGTTGCCAGGGTGATGCTGGGCCACACCCCATACCGAATCCACTCACTTCCCACCTTCAAGTCGGATGGGGCTTTTGTTGGGTTTTGTTTTAGCAGCCTCTCCCTCTGGGGCGGCTCCCCTGTGTGGGAAACTCGTCAAGGTGTTCCCAACTTCCCTGGTCCTCTCTGGCTCCATCTGGCTGTGTGGGATTTATGAAAACCCAGGCTCACTCTGGGCTGAGTTTGAATCCTGCCTTGTGGCCGCACTCATCCAGGGCCAGTTTGTCTCAAGAGTCACCCTGTTGACGGTGCTGTCCTGTGCCTGCTAACTCCCATATCCCTGCAGCTTCTTCCAGACCTTGTTGTGCCTGACACAAGGGTCATAGAGCTGGGATCCTGGGGAGCTTTGCCTCTTTCTGGGACCCGTGGGACCCAGAGTCCCCTTTCACTCCTCAGTGGGCCAGAGCGAATCACAAAGAGACCTGCTTAAGCAGGCGGGGTGCACATCCTAGCAACCTACCACAAGCTTTAGGTGGATCACATTCCTGTCCTGGGGCTTCAGTTTCCCAACCAAACTTGGCCTTAGGCCCATCCTGTGATTCTAGACAATTCCTTGTTTCTTGTTGTCTTGTGATTCCTTGGAGTGACCTCACAGGTGGAGCAGGGACCATAGGAGCCAGACACCCAGCTGGGCAGCTGACAATCAGCCGGGAGCTGGAGGCAGAGCTGGAGGAAGGCAGAGAAGGGGATGAGCAACAACCTCAGGAGTCCCTGTCCCTGCCCCATCCAGAGCAGTGGGACCTCATACAGAGGCGCAGGCTTGTGTCCCACAGGCTCCTCCTCCTTCCCCGAGGGGGCGAGGAGAGAACAGAGGCAGGGGTCAGGCTCCAGGAGCCTGGGCGACAGTCAGACAGAGGCAGGAGCAGCCTCTTTGTTTACACCAGGAGGATTCTGACTTCACAGCCAAGGGTATTTTGGGAGAAACTGTCTTCCCCACATCTGGACCGGGGTAGGGCCCAGCTGTTGCCTCAGTCTCTACATTCATACTGTCGTCACACGTGGGGGAGGTGCAGCCAAGTGCTGTGAGGCTGTCTGATTTCTTCCCTTCTTCCGTCCTGTGTCTCCAAGCCCAGGCAGCGGAGCCACAGCACTGAGGTCCAAGGACTTTCGATCAGACCCCAGGTGCCCCTGTCTCCAGCGCCGGAGTCTCCTCCGTCTGTGGCAGGTAGAGAGGGTGCATAGAAGTCCCACACTCAGACATCAGCCACTCAGTGAGGGTGGGAACCTTTCCCTCTCCACACGCTGGTGTCTGCAAGCAGGCAGAACTAGAAACCTGCCCAGGGCCCTTCCTGGACTTGATGCTGTGATTACTTCTGGGCTATTTTCCTGGTGTACTCGCTTGCGGT